CAAAAGCTCGACGACAAGCACCTCCAATGCACGGAACTGGGCCTAATGTGTCAAATGCCATTGACCTCTGTTATTTCTTCATCAGCGACGGCATGACGTCAGACGCCGCGATGCCAACACAGAGGGTTGCCATGATCCTTCTTGGGTGCATTTTGGAGGGATCCCAGCACGGGCTCGAAGACGGAGCACCAATGCGTTGCAGCGTAAAACTTCGGGGCGGTAATTGACTTTAGACCACTACTCCTGAGGCACACCGAAGCGCAACGACCTCACAACAAAGCTGCCCCCGAGTGTCTGCCGCTGCCGCCAACAAAACGCAACGACTTTAGCAACTGGGAGTATCGTGAACACTGGAATGACACAACAAGCTCACACACTCAAACATAGAGGGAAGGAGGAACATAGGAAAGGAAGGAACCAACGTACGTCATGTTTGCAGTCATCGTCGCGGCTGTTTCCCGAGCCTTGAGGATTTGCACTGCAAAGCCCACATGGAAATATAGATGTCTCCGCTCGCCTAGGTGGAGAGCGTCCAAGAGACTTGCAGCCTGAATTGTCTGGGTGATCTCGGGCAAAATCTTGTCTATGTCGTGGAATGGATCAAAAATCCAGATGCGGGACCCCTTGCAGACACAGGGTGGAGAAAGGAGAGCGACAATGAAAGCAATGACCTGCGCAGCCGTCTTCAAGATCGTCGCCATCGCTCCCGGAATGCTTACGACTCCTGTTCGTGGTGTTCCAAGGTTCCGTGTCTGGCTTTCAGGACTTTGGGGTCGGCTAAATCTGCGACAAAAGCCACAAAAGGCGCACTGCAGGAGGATGACGCATCTCGTTTGCACAACAAGAGTAGAGCCGGAAAGCCGAACTGCTTACTTTGAAGAAGAAGCGAAGCCTATTAGGGTTAGGATGTCCTAAAGCCACACCCACAAGCCCGCGCTGGCTCTTTGTCGCTCCAGCTCCGAGCAAATAGACTTGCATCGGTCAGCTCTGACCTCACACATCAATCTTAAGAGAAGAGAGTGCGAATCCTTACAAGCCTTACATGCTACGGTCTTTGCTAGTGACGGCACTCTTCAATGATTACGAATGGTTTCTCAACTTGTAGCATTGAGTTGCTTGTGCCAGAGGGTCAGGGTTGTGGGGTGCTGGATCACAAAAACTTAGTCAGGATCAAAAAAGAACTTGTGCGCCGACGGACCAAACAAAAAATAATCGGGAACCAAAACGAATCTACGCACCCGCACCGCTGTGCACTTCCTATAAATTGCCGCAGATACTGCATATCAGGTCCCCGCGTCACACGGCGGGCGTCCGCCGCCGTGGCTCGGTGCATAGTTTGTTCTGACGTCCAATCACTTGCCGCGCCACCCTCCAGGATTCATCGTAAATAATACGGAATGGACCACTTTTTGCTCTCGACAACTTTGAATCGCAGCAGTACTTGCGGGAAGCGACACTGAGTAAACTAAGGCGGGGAAACATGAATCGCCTGCGCCCGAAACGCGCCAGTACTTGGCGGAAAATACGTCCGCACCGGTTCTCGAGCCGCCAATACTTGGTGGAAAACGGTTTCGTCGTGCTTTCAATTGTGTCTGAATCCCGCCAGTACTTGGTGGAAGGCATTCGAGGCGTGGTTTGAATGCGCCGATGCTTGGGGGAAAGCATTGTGGCAATGTCTTCGTAGTTTTCTAGTGCTCCGGTTGTCTATTAGTAATCTCCTTCCCTGGTCGTTCTCGTCCAGGTCGGCGTGGTCGTTCTTCGTGGTTGGTACCCTGATGTAAGTGTTGGAATAACACAGATGACAACCAGTTGTGACCTGTGTTTTCAAAAGCAATTCAAGCCTGTTCACACGTGACAGTGGTCGTGACGTCCTGGTCACGTCACAACGGCATGCTTCTGGTGTGGTTTCTTCGCTGTTTAGGAACTGCGCCGGCATAATAGTATTAACAGTTCTGAGAGATTTGATAGTAGCAATGGTAATGATAGTGATAATCATGATAATAACAACCATAGTAGTAACAGTCGTAGTAATACTCGTTATTCAATAACAATAGCAAAATTAATACTAACAGTACCAACAGTAACAATAAAAGTAATACTACAAGTGTAGTAGTGGTCGTCGTAGCAGTGGAGTCGAAGTCGTCGTCGTCGTCGTCGTCGTCGTCGTCGTCGTAAGAACAACAAGGATAATAAACGTGGGCGCTGGACCGGCGCGGGCCGTCAGTTTTTTTTTAACAGATTCAGTGTAAAACTTTTGATGCAGAGTAGGTTTTTGATCCCTTTTAGCTTTGTTGTTCCGCATGCCAGGGTTGTATCAGGTTTCGTCCATCTTTGGAAAAGCTTCCTGGGGATTCATCGTATGTTGGATCATTCACAGGTTGTCCTGGGCTCAATGCAAGATATCAAGAGTTGCTGTGCCCCTGAAGGGACGAGGGTTCGCAGTGCAGTCGATTAGATGTGAGCACGGGTGGCGCTAGACTTGTGTAGCGCAGCTGGTACCTTTGCATGGGTTAGGCTAAGGCAGCAACTCGCGAACTGCTGAGTGCCCTGCAGACAGCATTGCTCAAGGTGCTTCATCACCGGCCTGGCCAGTACTGTTCCAGCACACGCCGCTGATGTATCCTAATTCAATCACTTTTGGAACCAGTCTCAGCCCTGTGTTTTGCATCTGTGTCGATAACGATGCAACACCTCCGAGGTTTGCAGTGCTGCATGTATCGTGGCTACGATAAGCAGTGCAGCCCCGTCTGGCGGGATGAAAGGAGATCTACTCTTCAGAATCCCTCGCCTCGCAAAGAGTGGCTGCCCAGCCTGGCGCGGAATGGGACTTACCGTGGCACGGCAGAGAGGCACAGCGACTCATTCGGCAGGGTAGTCCGGGACCGACCCTCAGCCTGTATCCAGAAGACTCTGAAGGGAAGGCCGCTCCTGCTTCGCAGTCGAATCGCGTGAGCCCGATTCACGGCACCTCGAGAGCCGCATCGGCAGCAGCGCCGAAAACGTCGGCACCAGGGGCAACTCGCCGTCTGGCACTGTGGCGAACAGTGGCGAACTTTCGGGCATGAATGATTTTGCACTGAAGAGTTTGCCCTCCAGTGAGGATTAAGGATTGCTCAACTACCCATGCCACGGGTCCAGGCTTCTTGGAATTCAGGTTGGATTCAACGGTGGTGGTTTGGAAATCATGCCTGGCTCCTCAGGCCCCACACTTGTAAGGGCCCTTACAGCAACTTCTATAATGTTTGCCAAATATTTCTTTTCCGAATTCAATGCGAAACACAGTGTATTCAGACATGCGAAAACAAGGGATTCAAAAATGGGATTGCAACAAAAAGAAAAACACATGCAATAACTAATGCAAAACTAATGGGCTTGAACAAGCAATAACAATGGGCCTGGGTAATGTACGAATCCCTTGGTGTTTCCTTTGTTTTTTTGACCCTCCTAGGGAACAAGCAAAGCAATGGACAATGCACACATCCCGTCTGTTTCCTTTATGTTCGCTTTATTTGTCTTTGTTGTTACCGCTTTTTCCTAGGAAATAAAACAAAAACAATGGACAATGCACACATCCGGCGTGCTTCCCTTATTTTCGCGTTCTTTTCCCTTTATTTGTATTTGTTGGTGCATTTTGGTGAAGTCTCATTCCCTTTCTTCCATTCTATTTGCATTGCTTTTGCTTGTTCCTGCATTATTTGCACATGTCGGTGTCTTTCACAGTATGGAGCCGTTGTTGTCGTCTTACTATGTGTCGCATTAAAACCCAATTCATTTATTTCCACGGTTCAACTGATTTAGCTGATTGGGGTCTTCACAACCCTACACATCTCTCCCAGACCTGACCGCCACATACTGCAAAACACAAACTCCGAAATATGAAACAATCGGACTGCCCTGACTCTTTTGTTCTCGTGCTCTTCCAAAATCGCTCGGGTCAGGGGCTTGGGTTAAATCTGCTGTCTAGCTGCAGAGCCCGACCTAAAAGCCGAACCGCGAAACTAAGCTTCCAGAAACATCGCAGTGCCTCTGCATCTGCCGCATCAAGGTAAAGATCATATCCCAATACTCACCGCCCCTGCTTCTGCCTGCACGGTGTGTTGCACTGCTCAAGGATGTGGTGTTGGAGGGTTCTTTTACCCATCCATGATCTCGCAGAAAGACAGACAGACGGGAGAGACACTTACAAGCATACACACCAACGCGCATGCACACACACACACACACACAAAGACAAACAATCAAACGCACACGGAGAGCACAAATACACACACGCACACACAAACATGCGTTCACACACATTAACATCTCACCGATGTCAATGAGCTATGCCATGCAACCTGCCCTTCCGGTCACAGTTGACATCTTCAATGTCAATCGGATTTTGATCTAGGCCAAGTGCTTCAGGCAAGCGATCTCTCTCTCTCTCTCTGTCAAGTCTTAAGTCAAAATTTTTAGCTCACTAGCCATCACATCAAGGATTTTCGCTACTGCCGAAGCTCCCTTGAGCATCCAGTGATACAGTTTTGTGCTTCCTGGCTCTTGGGAGCTGAGTGCGGGGCAGGCCGCCACGAGACCGTTGTAGGTCACCTGGCTCATGCAAAGGGCTGCGTGACTTGGTGATGGATCATGGAGCGGCAGGTTGAAACAACTGCTTTTGTTTGTTGTCCCTAACCCTTACGTCTTTGAGCAACTTCTTGAATCCGCAGACCACTATCTTTACAGCGAGTTAGCTGCAGCTACAGCATGTTACAATATGCTACAGCTACGTCGTCTGGCCAGGAAAAGCCATCCAGTCAACCACCCTAAACTGAATCGCCTCATTCGCAAATGGCCGAAGCTACGAACAGCAAAGTCCTCGATCGGATTGTCATGGACTACTGCACAACCCATGTAGCATTCGGAATGTCCCCTGCAGCTAGGCATTCAATCCACGGTCTCGGCAGCTGTCCAAAAAAGCTGCAACACATTCGAGAGCGGTATCGGCTGATTGCCAGGCTCGAATCGACAGTGTTGACATCGCTCCAGTGGATTCGAAAGACCGTACGGACAACCCACTGAATATTCCGTCAACTCATCCGAGCGCGCCCGATAAGATGCTCGTTGCACCTTGTCCGGCGTTTGCACATTCAGCCTAGCTCGGAAGTCGGGAGCTCCAGATCTGGGTTTGCAACTTCACGCTGAAAAGGGAACTTCGGTCTTGGGGGCCATTGACTTGAAGGGTTTTTGACGCCTTCTTTGATTGTTGGACTCACAATGGAACAGGGCATGATAAGGAGGATTTACACTTTAGACCCACGCGCCACACGACACGCGACATGCAACGAGCGACACGACACGCGACATGTGCCATGGCACGACACGCGAACCCCACCCACCCCCACACCTCGCACCCCACACCACCACAACACACACCACACCCACAGACCACCTACCACACACCACCACCCACCACCCACCACCTACCACGCACCACCCACAGCCACACGCCACCCACAGCCACACACCACCTGCCACACCTGCCACACACCACCTGTCACATAACATGCCCCGCCTCCGCGACACAGAGACACAGAGACACAGACACACAGAGAGACAGACAGAGAGACAGAGAGACAGACAGACAGACAGACAGACAGACAGACAGACAGACAGACAGACAGCCAGACAGCCAGCCAGCCAGGCAGGCAGGCAGGCAGGCAGGCAGGCAGGCAGGCAGGCAGGCAGACAGACAGACAGACAGGCACAGGACGGACAGACAGGACAGACAGGACAGGACAGGACAGGACAGGACAGGACAGGACAGGACAGGACAGGACAGGACAGGACAGGAGAGGAGAGGAGAGGAGAGGAGAGGACAGGAGAGGACAGGAGAGGA